TGACCCCATGAAGTGTGGTACTCTAGATAAGCAATAGTGTTATCCGTTATAGAGATGGGGAAACCGAGGCACAGAGAAAGTGACTCTCCCAAGGTCAGGATGAATCAGCAGAACTGGGAACAGATGTCAACAGTCCTGATAAAAAGCACCATTCTAAACACTCAGCCACAATCTCTCTGAGATGTGCTGTCCAATATGGAAAGAGTTGGATTATTGGACTTGTTCTAATCTGGCCTGGCAGGAAGTAGGATATTGGATTAGAGTTTATGTCGAAGATTTATGGGGCAGGGACTGTTCCTTCCTACGTGTGATTGCACAATGGGGCCCTGACCCTGACCAGGGCCTTTGGGTGAACAATACGAATAATAATAATAATAGACAGACGCTTGCTTTCTGCTGGTACAGCCGGCGGTGGAGCACTGCCCTAGATGGACCCTTGTGCTCCCTCAGTGAGCGCAGAAGGGACACATCCCCACTGCCCTGGAGGAGCCTCTAAGCGGATGAGCTCCTTCATCAGGTGGCATTTGTGGGCAGTTGGCCTGATTTCATGACCCCAAACAGAACATTTTCCTGAAAGAGCAGATTCTTCCTCCATTCCCCCCTCTCTCACCCTATAATCTTATACACCCTGGGTGGAATATTCAAAAGCACTCAGCGTTGGACTGACTTGTCTCCCTGTGGGGTTAGTCAGGCTAATGCTGAGCACTTCTGAAAATCCTACCTGTGCTGTACAAGAGATATGAAGAGCATGTCCCGTTCCAGTGCATATATATTCCATGTACACTATGCAGTCATGTATGCAGCACCTGCTGTTGTCGTATGGAATGGATAGTATGTTTGGGCGGGATTACAGCTGCTCAGGACGGACTGGCTTGAGGACTATTAAAAGGGATTCTACAATTGCTGTGATGTTTGTTTGGGATTTTTTGGAGGGGACATCATTTTAATATGCAAATCATGTAAGGGGATAAAATTAATATACATCGAATCAACTCATTGCAATGGCAGAGTCAGCCGCTCTCACGGACAAGATGACATCATGGGATTAATGAGAGGACGGGAGTTTGCAGCTTGGAATAGTTTAGAAGCTGCACTAGGGTGGGGTGAAGGGATCACAACACAGACACGCTCTGCCCCTTCTTACCCATAGAATTCGCAGGTCTGGTTTCCCAGGAACACAGACACGCTGCTGCCGGCTCCCAGGTAGTGGCCACTGATGGTCATCATGGTCCCTCCAGACTCTGGGCCGCGGCTAGGGCTCAGGGAGCTCACCGCTGGATTCTTGAGAAGGAAAGGAAAGAAGAAGGTCACTGCTTTTGTCTGCTGGGATCAAGCCAGGATCAGATCATGCCTGAGGGAATATTGAGGCACATCAGAGAGAGTCTCCTTATTCTCAGTTCATAGGCCTGGTGCCACAGCCGCCCTGAGTAGCTGGGAATAGCATATGCAGGGAAACTCACCTCAGCCTTCACAACCCAATTCAGCCGCCAAATTCTAACAAGTCTCAACTGAGCATGTCCAAACTAGGATTTTTTTTTTCCAAAGGTTTATAACTCAGCTAAATATGGGTGTTTTTCCCCCACAGAGAAACAGCAAAAGGCAAACCCCTAACAGGGCAACCTTCCTGCCAAATGTCAAGTCTTTACTCCAGATGGTTAGGATTTGGCAACGTTATAATCAACAGAAAACCGAGTCTTATAATGGGAAGTGTTGGGCAACCTTAACTATATGCAGCACTATCAGCTCTGTCCATAATACACACAAACCAATAACGAGCATATTGTGGTTGGAGGGTCTATCTCCCATCAGTGACAGAAAAAGTTATCTGGGCATCCCGGGGAGTTTACAGTCCTATATCCTCTTTGACATCCCTGTTTCTATTGGAACAATGCCAGTTTTTATACTGCTTGCATCAGTGAAGGCTACTTATTCCTTTTAAGAGAATCTGCAGAAAGCAGGTACTTTTTTGTTTTCAATCAATGGATATAACCACATTTTTTCACTAATGCTTCCACATTATCACTTTAGGACTCATCTGCAAACTGGCAGCATCCCATCTCCAATCCCTGGGTACTACCTGCTTCATAGTAGAGAGTCAGCACATTGAGTTGGTGCTGTTTTCTCCATTGCTTTCAAACCTCAGCATATGCTTACAGGTATCAAAGGAATTGACAGACTGGATTAGACCAGCAATCTATCTAGGGCAGTAACCTGGCTCTGAAAATGGTTGGTAGTGGATGGTCCATTGGGAAGCACAAGGAACCTCAGAATGGACAAATATGGAATAACATGCCAAGAGAGGAAGACTTCTTCTCAAGCAGTTCATGGTTGGCTTCTCTCTCTGACCCAATTTTTACCTTATCTAATGACAACACCAATACAATATGGTTTGAATATTAAAAACAACATGATGTTTATCAGTGGATTATAAACCTGAACCTCGGATACAGCAAAGAGAAGCAATTCAGAACTGAATGGACATGCCAGCAGTTAAGCAATTGTTTAAATTTCCAAATTCAGAGTGGCTTTCAGTTAAACTTTCATGGACAGTCCCAGAACTTAACTGAGCTAAAACTTGACTGGCAAATTAATACGGACCTGTAAGGATACACTGTTCCATGCTGATAGCAAGATCAACTTCCTAGAATAGTACAGTAATGGTAGAATTAATTTGTCACTGGCTGATAAGAATTTTAATTATTGTAATTTGGGAATTATTATTTCTAGATAAAGTAAGCACTTTGTGTTGAATTCGTTCTGTTAAGCTTTTTAAGCACTACCATAAAACCACCTTTATTTTACTTTCTGCAATTTCTCTGTTTTTAATCTTTAAAATTCTCTTGATTAATAAAGCTTAAATTTAAGAACTCCTGAGTGGGTGTACTTTAGCTATACAACCCCAAATTCATGAAAAATTACTTATCCGGTGTGTGCTTTATATTCTAATTACTGTAATGTTCTCTCATTGTGGTCACTCTTCTACATATATAAACCCTTTATGAATCCTACCAAGCACTTGGCATCAGTAAATTGTGGCAAGGAGTTCCACAGACTAGCTATGCATTATGTTAAAAAAGCAAACAAAACCCTGTATCAGTTTTAAATGGGTCACCTTTTAATTGTTTTGGGTGTTGCCTTGTTCAAAGCATTACAAGACAGGGTAAAAGGTGTCTTTGAAAATTCAGGAAGCTTCCAAGAGGTAGCACCTTGAACAGAGTGTAGACTCTACCTTCAAAAGGTCATTCTCTTAAACAAATGAAAGGGGGAAGAGCAGGTGCTAGGGACATTAACAAAAAAATTCTATAACCTCCCCCAGCCAAAATACCAGGGCTGCAATTAGGCAACCAAATAGGATTTCCCCATTTCTATCTTGTATCATTCTATGTAAATTATGGCAGATTTACAGATAGGCTCCACCTCTCCAGGTAAAATGGGCGTCACTAAGTTGACAGCATAGATCCTACAGCGTATCAGTCCCCAATGAGCTCATTAAGGCATGAACCCTCTCAGAGTCGGAACAGAACTCTGTTTTAAGGTACCAATCAATTTTATTACTGTATTTAACAGAGTTTGTGGCTGTGCTATGGGGTGGGGAAAAAAACCAAAATAACAAAAGGAAATTATTTACTTGAAGGTTTTGATGCCTGAGAAAAATAAATGATAATAAAGGAAGTGCTGGAAAAAAAGGGACAATGCAAGGAGCAATAATGCTCAGCATATGTTTAACAGGTTGCTGCAAGGTATTACTCCAAGATTAATTTTTGCAATTACTTTCAGCTGGGCCCTGGTTATTATTTAACACAAACCACAAGAGAGTTCCTTCTGTAGGGCTAGGAAATTTTCCTTTAAAAACTGGCAATCTGAGAAAGACCAATAAGACGCCCATTGCCTGTTACACTGGAAACTGGAATATTCAGGATAACCCAGAGAACTGCCCAGGAGCAGGGATCTGCATGGCTAAGGACAATGGGAAAAGGACACAGGGCTTTTCACTTCAAGGCTGCCAGATCATCCAGCCCAGGTCCCTGATACAGAATACTATCTGGTGGCAGGGGCGGCTCTATGTGTTTTGCTGCCCCAAGCACAGCAGTCAGGCGGCTTTCGGCGGTGCGCCTGCGGGTGGTCCGCTGGTCACGCCGATTCGGCGGCGTTTCTGCGGGAGGTCAGCTGGTCCCGCGGCTTTGATGTACCCACCGCCGAATTGCTACCGAATCCGCAGGACCGGTGGACCTCCTGCAGGCATGCCGCCAAAGGCAGACTGACTGCTGCCCTCACAGGGACGGCAGGCCGCCCCCCGCGGCTTGCCGCCCCAGGCACGTGCTTGCTGCTCTGGTGCCTGGAGATGCCCCTGCTGGTGGCTGTTAGTGGCCTGTGGGAAGGGTGTCAGCTGTATTCCCAGTAGGCTGGTGTCCACATCACAGCAACTACTGCCACACCTGGCAATACGCGAGACCTGTTGTTGGCAGTCACGGGAGAGAGGCCAAGGACTCAGTGGGCAATGGAGACTGAACTTCCCTCTCAGCCTTAGAGCTTGTGCCTCTAGGTCCCCCTGCACCGTTGGGAAAGGTTGTGTTGGTGCATCTCATGTTACAAGTGCCCTGTGCATACACAGTAGGCTTAGCTGACCCCAGCTGAGAGCTTGGCTCCCTTCATTAGCAACATATTCATACAAAATTTAATCGGGTAATGGGCAAACGTGTTTAAAGCCCGTCTTTATTCAGTAAAGGGCTTAAGCACAGGCTTAAATTTTAACATATGCTTAAGTGCTTTGCTGAACTGGAGCCTTGAATTCAAGTTTCCCTGTCTATAAAATGGAGGATTTTAAAATGTGCTTCTTTTGATAGACTGGAACCCTGATTTTATCATCACAACACTAAAGACATGTCTTGTGTTTTTAAAGTTTGTAAACATGGACTGATGAGTTTTAATTAACATTTGTGAAGTGCTTTAAGACCCTCAGGTAACAGGTGCTACAGGAACGGAGCAGACTGCCCTCCTCATTGCCTTCTCTGGTTACACTGATGTTCAGACTCTCTCCTTCACCAGGCCGGTAGCACATTAATATTTTGCACCAGTGCAACGTGGTTGAATAAATACAATCCAGGGCAATGTGGTGCTCATAACACTGAGAGATAGCAGGAGCTGGCCTCATTTATCTATCATTTAGTTTACAAATTGTGGACAATTGGTAAGTGCTAGCATTTCGCTGCATGCACAGATTCCACTCAGCATAAAATCAATGTGGTTGGATAAAGTGCCCTGTGAAGGCAAAAATGGAGATACAAAAAGCCCCAGCTGTGTCTCGCAAGTTTATGAATCAAAAGGCTGCTAATTAAATAAAGGAAAGACGCAATGATCACTCAACAAACGGAAATCCACTACCCCAAAGAGCAGCTCTTGATTAAGTGCATGGATGGAATCGACACTGAATTAGCATCCTTAGAGGAAGTCATTCGATATCGGGATGCAGAATTACTCCATTCCCAAGGTAGGTTGCAGGAGAAATTTAAATATGTAGAGACCGACAGTAAGTCAGATATGTTTAGTATTCATGTGCGAATGATAAAAAATGGCTCGATCGGGCCTTCAGTATCTTAGTTTGACAAAGGTGATCCCTGGGTGGTCCCCAGGTAGTGATCAGCAGCTTGATGTCTAGTTGGCAGCCGGTATCAAGCAGAGTACCCCAGGGGTTGGTCCTGGGGCCAGTGCTGTTCAACATCTTTATTAATGATCTGGATGATAGGATGGATTGCACCCTCAGCAAGTTTGCAGATGACACTAAGCTGGGGGGAGAGGTAGATACGCTGGAGGGGAGGAATAGGGTCCAGAGTGACCTAGACAAATTGGAGGATTGGGCCAAAAGAAATCTGATGAGGTTCAACAAGGACAAGTGCAGAGTCCTGCACTTAGGACGAAAGAATCCCATGTACAGCTACAGGCTGGGGACCGACTGGCTAAGCAGCAGTTCTGCAGAAAAGACCTGGTGATTACAGTGGATGAGAAGCTGGATATGAGTCAGCAGTGTGCCCTTGTTGCCAAGAAGGCTAATGGCATATTGGGCTGCATTAGTAGGAGCATTGCCAGCAGATCGAGGGAAGTGATTATTCCCCTCTATTCAGCACTGGTGAGGACACATCTGGAGTACTGCGTCCAGTTTTAGGCCCCCCCGCTACAGAAAGGATGTGGACAAATTGGAGAGAGGTCCATCCGAGGGCAATGAAATTGATCAAGGGGCTAGGGCACATGACTTGTGAGGAGAGGCTGAGGGAAATGGGGTTATTTAGTCTGCAGAAGAGAAGAGTGAGTGGGGATTTGACAGCAGCCTTCAACTACCTGAAGGGGGGTTTCAAAGAGGATGGAGCTCGGCTGTTCTCAGTGGTACCAGATGACAGAACAAGGAGCAATGGTCTCAAGTTGCACTGGTGGAGGTCTAGGTTGGATATTAGGGAACACTATTTCACTAGGAGGGTGGTGAAGCACTGGAATGGGTTACCTAGGGAGGTGGTGGAATCTCCATCCTTAGAGGTTTTTAAGGCCCGGCTTGACAAAGCCCTGCTTGGGATGATTTAGTTGGTGTAGGTCCTGCTTTGAGCAGGGGGCTGGACTAGATGACCTCCTGAGGTCTCTTCCAACTTTAATCTTTTATGATTCTGATTACGTACAGTGGAGAGCAGCAAGAAGCAACACAATAGATTTATCCCAGTAAATTAAATACAAAAGTAACATGTCTTCATTATTCTTCCCCTCCCGAGAAAGAGGAAAATTGTGAACAACATGACACCAGTTCCATGGCAGGATAGTACCTAGCTACAGGATGAACTTACATTAACATAGTGCTTCTGCTCAGAGGATCTCAAGATACTTTACAAACAGGACCTAATTGAGCTCAACAATTCTGTGAAGCAGGTAAATAGTATCACCATTTAACATGCAGGAAAAATAAAACAGAAGTCTGGGAACATAAACTTAGGCCAGTGGAAGCCACAGAGGCTCAGCATGTCTGAAAAAATCAGACCGCTTGATTAGGTGCTTGTACAACATCACAGAGAAGTCAGTGTTAGAGTCATAATTTGAACTCGGGACTTCCTGGCTTCCCATCTCACACCCAAGCCACAAGTCCATCAAAAGCACACTCCTAGTATGTGTATCAGCCAAAATCAGAAAAGATGCTTTGGCTCGCCCATCCCTCCCACTGGTTTTGCCCAGGTACTCACCACAAACATGTACTGTTGTGAGGATGTGGCCATGAACTCAGGTTTGCACTCTCCGATGCAGAGGCGCACTGGACCGGAACTGATCCCTGGGAGTGCCTGCCCCATCTCACACACAATTCTGAAAATATAAAACCCACAAATGAGACCCTAGTAGGTAGACGCAGCAGTGACTGACTCAGCTGGATGGTTCCCTTTCTCCCTTTATTTTGACGTCTGCTGCTCTCCCCTTTCGAAGGAGCTAATTACTATTTTTCCCCCATGTAATAATTAAAAAAAAATCAAAATTAGACATAATTATTACAAGCTGTAAACTCCAGAGCAATGCAGAGCACTAATGGCAAATATATTAGCCTGAAGCAAAGTAAGTGTGAAGTCCTCAGAGTAATGAATGAGTTCATTAAGGAACAGCTCACATTGTGGGTTCCTGTTTAATCAGAAGTGGAGAGACCCATTAGGAGATGACAGACACAGGCCTTTGCGTAGAAGGTAAGTTTACTCCTTATACTGATGAAAGAAGGTTAGTGGAACTGAATTGTACGGATACAGTATTCTTCACCTAGTCCAGATCAGTACCTGAGGATGGGCTCTCAGGCAGGGAAGGGGTAAAAAATCATAGAATTTAGAATGTGAACATGAGATACTCAATAGAAACATCATGGATCAGGATGGCAGCTCAGGATGGTGGGCGGGGAGAGAGGCAGGAAAGAAAGTGTGGCAAGGCCCCTTCTGCCTGGCTGGACTTAGCGCTCCCTCCTCTGGCAGGAACAGGGCCTGGGGTAAATCAGCCCCACTCTGGAGCGTGTCTGTCTTTCCTCTTCGGGGTTTGTTTCTCAGCGCCTGCCCGGTAGGCATCGGGGCAGGCCTGAGGAGTGCTCCTCTGGGAAACAAGTCTATAACACATCGAAACAAAAGGGGAAATACCTTTCCCTGCCCCCCTCACTGGGGCAGGGGTTGTCCTGCCACTGGCCCCGGGGTGTCAGTCCTTCCCCTAAACAGGCACTGGGTTTGGGGTGTCTCCCCTATGGGAAGGAGCGCAGTCTCTCATGCTGGAGAAGCCTATCTCCCTGCTGCCACCAGCCTTGCAACAGTTTGTCCCCCCTTCCCAGGAGAGAGGTTTTAACAGGTTTCAGGCAGCCCTTACTTGGACTCAGGTGTCCCTAACTGACCTGAAGTAACCCCTTCCCAGCTTGTAGGAAAAAGGGCCTTTAGCATTCTAGGGCTAACATATCTGTTTCCCCAGACCCTCCTGCAGCCGTCCGGCCTGCCGGTGTCACAAAAGGAAGATTTTGATCCTGCCCTTGGTTGCATGACACAAATCTCCCTGGGTCACATGCAATACCTGATTTCACCAGGACAGTGGCAATGGGTAACATGTACTGGAAACAGGAACCAGATCATTCTTTGTCACACCAGCGGATTCAATAGGCAGTGAGCCAAGGTTTTCAAAGCCACCTCAGCCAGCATGGATCCTTAGCAATGCCTCAAAAGGGATGCTGCTGGGAGTCATTCCCACTGTGGTGTTAAAAAAACAAAAACACCAGAGCAGTTTGCTAAAGCCTGGTTTGCTAAAAGTGAACAGCCTAGTCTCACTGATCGGGTGGATGGGAGTGAGAAAGGTGAACAAAGAGGATCAACTGTGAAAAGCAGATTAAGCACTAGGTAGGTACGTGGATGGATAGATGGCATGAGATATATAAATATATTATATAATGAAGTGGATGGATAGATGGCATGGGATATATAAATATATTATATAATGGAAAACTCTGCTGCAGTAACTAACTGGTCCCTGCTGGTCAGTCCCAATGGAAAGGCCAAGGGCGGATGGTGCATAGATACCGAACTCCCTACCAGAGCAAGGTTGAAGATATATTGGCCAGGAGATTGTGGGGAAAGCTTGTACTACCACTGCTTGTACTTAGATAAACAGAAGTCTTCAGTCTCTGAAGTGATCATTTGAGCAGCTCTCACCCATGCTAGACTCGCTAGCGAATAAAAAGGATTTAAAGAAAAAAAAATCTGTAGACAAAACGCGCAGCTGATGCTAGGAGGCTTAACAAAATACAAACATGCTAGCAAAGAGCCTTAATGTGAAAGCCATTATCACTACACATCAAAATGGGTTTCCTATAGAGACGCTGCCTTTGGAGAACAGAGGCTGAAGTGTCTCCGCTGTGTGCCGAAATTTGCCACGCTTTGCTCTCTCTTCCCCTTTCAACTCGACGGAACTTTCTCCCCGGAGCAGCATTTTGCTGCTGCTTCTCCATGAAGGCAGGAGCAGCAAGAAGAGAGCGCTGTTGTTCTGGCACTGGCAGTCTGTGGGAGATGGGGAATCATGACAGGCTGAGAAAGCGCTGTGCCCCTGTCTCAGACAGGGCAGGGGCAAGGTGGTTGTGACTGGGAGATTGCTCCTCAGTGTTGCTGCAATCTTGCGAGAGAGAGAGAGGATAGTCATTATTCCCTCCACCAGATGGGCAGCCAAAACCCAGGGACTAGTTGCAGAAGCCACAAAGAAAGGGTGGTGGGATCCAGGTTTTATTCCAAACAGGGGGACGGGGACACCAGTGCTGGATTTCAGCAAACTCAAGAAAAGACCAAATGACCAAATATTAGCCAGTAACGTGGACCTTTTCATTACTCAGCTGCCCAAATAATACCTTTGAGTAGCCCCAGAACAAGTAACAGGGCACACATCATTGCATACACTATCAGGCATGTTGGGAATGAGGAATGGTGGCACAAGCTGCTATGGTACGTCTGAGCTCTGATTCCTAATCCAGGCCAAACTCCCAGCAGGTACCCTCCTACAAAATGATGCACTCGACAGAGCTGTAGGGTGCTGATTTCTGGGCTAAGTGGCCCTTTAACCAACATTAACCTAATTGCCAGCTGATAGATTGCATGGCTGGAACATATGGTGAGTCATTACAGTCTCGGAATTCAGTCTGCCCACAGAACCCTTCAGAGGGTCCTTTTATCCGGATTCATCTTTAAAAGGCAGCTCTCATGCTAACACTTGCTGTTATCTGCCCAGGATAAATGTTTTAATGATGTTAACAAACTTTTGAAAGCTTAAGAGCTGCAATTAGAATTGTCATTATAAAATCAGGATTTCATACTATCAAAGGAGGATAATTTTATAATCTCCTGTCCCTGATTTCAAAAATAAAATACTACAGTTTTATAGCATAACGGAGAGAAATCACCATGTCTTACAATGGTATTAGTGCACTGCTTTGAGTCATTAATATAATAAAATACTAATAATACTTTGCAGTTCGGTAGCATCTTTCCACCAGTGATCTGAAAGCACTTGACAAATCCCAAGGCTATGTCTACACTCAGAGCTAGGGGTGTGAATGTGCTGCTCACATACACACTCATTGAGCTAGTGTGAGTCCAAAACAGCAGCATAGGCAAGGTAGCTCTGGTAGTGGTGGCACGACTGAGCTGTGCCAAGTACAAACCCACCTGAAACTGTGGATAGACACTTGGCGTGGCTCAGCCATGCCTCCAAGGCCGCCTCCCGTGCTACCGCAGCCAAACTGATCTTTATACTCGCCTTAGCTTAATGAGAATGAGCGTGAGTATGTGTGCATGAACAGCGGCATCCCACCGAGTTCAAAGTGTAGACATAATCTGAGCTGCTCACAGTCCCCCCCGCTCCACTAAGAACAGTAGATAATGTTATTATCCTTATTTTAGAGATGTGGAAACTGAGGTACAGAGTGATTAAAGTAACTGGCCTAAACTGACACAGCAAATAAAGGGAAGACCTTGGAACAGAACTCAAAAATCCTGACTTGCAGTCTCCTGCTCTAACCACTGGACTATATTATTTAAAATAAGGGATCTTCCCAGCCTGAAATCTCTTCTCCCTACCTCCTGGAGTGACCGAAACCCCCATTTCAGTTTACAGTACCAGCATCGCTGACCTGAGCGGCAGGTAACTGAGATGGACTTAGACTTCACTCAGTGTTTACGAGCGAATGGTCAGGGGAATATGATCAGGGCTAAGCCTGACTATCCAAAGGGGAACTCAAGCTGAATGTAATCCATCAGAGCTCACCAGAGCAATTCTCCTTTGCCCTGGCCTTACAGACAAGTTTATCTTGCTGAGCAGGTCGCTATCCTTTCTGCAAAATCTGTATTTAGTCCATGTGAAAGGAATTGAGTCCCCAGGAACAATGTACTTTAGCTAGGGACAGCACAGAAACAGCTCAGGTAGTGGCTAGGCATGAAAGGGGAGCTCAGTCTTCACAGCCTCTCTGCTGGGACTGCCAGCAAGGGGGTGAATTAAAGCCAACTGCTTTTAGTGACAGACACGTCCTCTGCTTTGAGAACTAGACTGAGACCCGCCAAACTCATTTCACTCAAGCCATCAAAGAACAACCACGTTCAGCGGCTACAGACCCTGGGACAGATCCATTCTCAGTCCCTTGGGTTTCTCCTCTCTCTCTCCGACTTGCTCCGACAGTGCGGCACTGTATCTGTATGAGCTGCCAGAGCACCTTGCCAGTGCAGCAAAGATTACTCAATAAAAGAAGTTGCTTAACATATTCCATCTTGCCCACTCTGCATGAATGCACCCCCTACTCTCGTAAGCATATTGGCATCTTGGCTAAAATAAAATAGAACTTCCAAAAAAAAAAAACCCAATCTGAAATGGGGACATGTGTCACTTTGGGAGGTTTATTTGCCTGTCCTCTGTTACACGCCTATTTTCTAATTTTCGGCTGACATTTTTCTCAGTGAAATAAATGAATTGACTCCAGTGGAGGCCTATTCGGATTAAACTGCTGTCACCGCCTCACACACCTAACAAATGGTTGCCTGCCGTCAGCAGCGCGGGATGCATTCCAACCGGAGGGGAGGGAGGTGGGAAGGCTGAGGGTAAACAGCGAGGTGCTCATCAGAAAAGTTGCTTAGCAAAGCAGGAGCCATGGTGCAGAAGGAAACAAAATGCTTAATAAACCTTTAAAAGGGCCGGTTAGTGCCTGGGATGAAATCCAAGTGTGTGATCCTTAGCAGGTGTAAACTGGCCCAGCCCCATTTAAGTCAGGAGAGCTACATCCGTTTACAACCACTGAGGATCTGGCCCGCAAGGCACTGCTGCAGTTCTGCAGAGCAGGGAGGAGAGAGGCAGGCAGTGACTGGAGCACGTCTCTGACTCATGGGCTGATTGTGCTTTTGCTTTCATCATGAAGAACAGGCCTTCTGAAGGGGCTGCTAGATCGGGTGCTGTACACCAAGACGCCAGGAAACTAAAGGCATCCACTAGTGAACTCTAAGAGCCGGGCCAAGTGCACTTACTGCTCTGCGATGACGTACTGCTCCTGCAGGGGAGTGCACTGCACCCCCGCCACCTGCACGTTGTGGGCAATCTCGGAGAAATCCAGCCCCAGGTTCACGCCATGGATCGTCACCCGCGTCCCTCCTTCTGGGGGCCCTGACACTGTCAGGATCTGGAGAGGAAACAAAATACAGCATCTGCATTACTATCGCCTCCTGGCGGGTGCCTTGAGCCTGCTCATGTCCTGGCACTTTCTTTGCACCAGGTCTGGAGGGATCCCCTCGAAGGGCTGGCAGCTGCAACCAACCGACCGGCAGCCTATTAATGCTGCAGACAGGAGGGGAGATTATCGTGCCAACTTCTCCTCACCATTTCCCACCAGCAGAGGCGGAAGAGATGCAGCGTGGTAGGAAAGAGTTAATCCATTGTACTTCCTCACAGCGACTCTGCTCCTGCAGCGATAGGGGTGCTGTGGGCCTGCCTGCAGGTAAGTCTGCATAGCTGCATGCAGGACGCTTGCACAGCCCCGTGGCGTGATCCCACAGCACTGACCCGCCGGTGACTTACTGTGCACACAGGCACCATTAGGGGCTGCCATTCGCTCTTCAGCCCATTGGGGGAGTAATGCCAATTCATTCATCAACACAGGGAGATAATGGGGAAATGACCCAGGGATCCTCTCAGACCCACTGGGCTTTGCAGATGGAACTTGTTTACGGCCCAGTGGTTCATTCACACAAACACCTTGGCTTTACCACGTCAGGACCTAGGAGAGTCTTTGGATGGTTTCCCCACAAAGCCCAGTGCTTCCTTCACCTGTTTTGCTGTATAATGAATTTTATCACGCAAAGCTGAACGCAAGCACCGAACACTGCAACCGACATCATTTCCACCTGGCTCCTCGGGGCAGCCAGAGACTCCCATCATCATCCCCAGTCCAGCACACCTCTCTCACTTCCATGCCCCATATCACGCCCAGACATCTTGCAGTAGTCATGGGAGCCAGCGTCTGTGCCTACTGTGCCGGAACCGACGATGGCTGGAGTGCTGCAGCTGGCAGAGGCCTGAACAATATTAGCAGCAGAAATATCTGCTAGAAAGATAGGATCAGCTCCCTTTTTATAGACTTATATACAAGATCATAACCTTAAAGAAGTGGGCTGCTGCTATGGAGAACTTCATTACGTTCTGCCTTGGACGGTCTCTGAATTTTAATACCACATTTTATTAGTGAGTAAGGCAACGAGAAGCACTTCAAACAACTCTTTGAAATGCTAAAGGGTGAGGAGTACATTCTAAAGATGTCCATTTATAGTGTATCTCAATCATGATTACCTCCGTTCCAATTGCAATAGGATTTCATTAAAGATCACTCCCCCTCCCCAGCCTGTGGCATGCACTAGGATAGTGAGAGGCCACAGGATTGGGACCCAAGAGACCTCGGTTCTATTCCTGGCTTTTCCACTGGCTTGCTGTGAGGCCTTGGGAAAGTCTCTGTGCCTCAGGTCTTTGTCTGTAAAATGGGGATAAGGATAGAGACTCTCCATTTGTGAAGCACTTTGAGGCGGATTGTGAAATCGCTAGTTAAGAGCAAAGGATTATTATTAATGCAAGATTGACTTAATCCCCAGCCTTTGGTTACCAGCTCCAGCTTTCTGACCCTCTCACCATCCTACCCAACTTTTCTGACCCGCTGCCCACTTTCCCCAGGAGCTCAGAACAGCTTTGTAGGTGGGATCTGAATTGTTAGTACATGGAAGGAGATGAAATGTAACACATGAACACTGATAATCATTCATGTTGGCAAATACAGAATATCCCGCTGTTTCAGTAGCTCATCAAAGCAGCCCTCGTTAGAACCCCCGCATATCATGTTCTATTACATCCCCTGGCTACAGATTTAATTGGCATGTGCCCCAACCCGTGACCTCTATGGATGATCCCTTTTAAAACCCCTCCACTTACCTAACACTGGCCTCCTCACATATCCACTACCAGCAATGCAGGAGCCTTCTTCTCCGCAGCATCTGCTGCCTGGAATAGCCTCCCTGTATCTTTCTACCTCATTTTTCTGTTTCCCGTCTCCTTTCAAATCTCAGCTGAAACTATTTCTTTTCTCCCTCCCTTATATGTCTTAATTTCTCTCCCTTCACCTCTGCTCCTATTTATTATTAACTCTGAAGCTGTATTATTTAATTTGGCAAAATGTTCTGGGTTGCAACTTGCGATATAGACCATACGATATACAGCTGCATTGTATTTTAAAATACCTTTCTCTGCCCTGCCTAGGCCTCAATTTCTCTCTCTTTGCACTCTGGGTTTTATGACTGAAGGCTTTAATTTAGTCACTATACAGTGTCTGTTGCACCGCTGCTTTCTGAAACTCATACCACGTAGCATGTCTTGTACCACTTAGCTCTGCAAAGCACCGTGTTCCCAAAGAAGACACTATACAAAAATCAAGTTGTATTGTATTATATTGAACATTGACAGCCCGGGCTGCTAATGTTGACACTGCTAGTCACACATAACCAGAACACAATTCTTGACAGTTTACTTTCCTTACGACTGTAAATTAGTTGAAACCCTACTTATCGCAGTATTTACACTACAGGATGTGTTGACTTATCACACATCCAAAAAAACCACCCCTTTGGCTTGCCATTTTCTGACCCAACTGCAACCGACAAAACCAGACCGTGTTGCCAAACAAAACAACGTTTTTTTTATATTTTTTATTTTGATAATGTCCTGACCTGGAAAATGCCCGAACCAGATTTCCATTCGACCTAGATTTTAGGGGCCGCTAATTGAACAGTTTTGAAATAACTGTGCCAAAGAGCAGCCCCAGGGTTAGAACAGATGCATTCAATTAATTACAGCTGGGGAGATTCAGTCAAAACCATAGAAAGGAGCAAAGTCTTAGAGGTCCAGTTGTGCAGAACTTCGGTGACGGCCTCTGAGCAGAACTGGACTCGGCCTGTGCACTGCACGACGCAGTGCGACTGCCATGATGAAACGGCAGCAGCAGTTGGACTTTGGGTTATTTTTTTACATACCATGGTCAGACCCTATACTTATGTGGATACACAACCCAATTATGCACAGCAAGTCTGACCCGAGGCTGCTGCTGACATCACAGTGTCTCTCGAATTTCAGCGACAGCCAGTCACACTTGGAGGATGCATGAACTGGAGACAGGAGATTCTCGTTAAGAATAATCTCATTTTCTGTTCTGAGATGCAGGAGGAAACAGTCTCCACCTAACAAGACCATCTCATTCTATTTAATACCTCTTCCCATGTGTCTACATTGTTATACTGTGCTCATCACCAGGGTATTTTAGTTCTCTCTTGCGAAGACAAATCCTGACGGTTTCTAGAACATCTGTTATCAATTAAAATGGGATTGGGAGTAAGCACTCCTGGGTTCTGTTCCCAGCTCTGCAACTACCTCATTGTGTGGCCTGAGCAAGTCACTTTCCCGCTCTCTGCCTCGGTTTCCCCATCTATAAAATGGGACATAGTAGGCTTTGCATAAAAGGATCAGCATCAGAGACTATTAGGTGAAAGAATTATGTTTTGCATTTGCATAGATCTTATCTTCATAAAAGTGCAGGAATATCACCAAAGTGACCGGAGAGATGATATTATAAAGCCTGGGGGAGCTGCACCAGTGCAAACGCCTATTGTACACAGGCAAAGCCACTGTTCGCACTGGTGCTGCTTACTCCAGCTTGGAACCAGGGTAAGCTGCAGCAAAGCAAATGACAGCTTACCCCGTTTGCACTGATGTGGTGACACAGCGGCTGGAATCAGGGCAAATCCTCAGTGCAAGTCAGTGTGTTCTGCACTGTCCAGCCTTCTCCAGGGCAGTTCAGATATTAGTGGTCCATTACCCCTGTAAGGAGTCAATATTCAAGTTTACTGCACCTCTACGCCGATATAATGCGACCCGATATAACATGAATTCGGATATAACGCGGTAAAGCAGCGCTCCGGGGGGCCGGGGCTGCACGCTCCGGCGGATCAAAGCAAGTTCGATATAATGCGGTTTCACCTATAACGCGGTAAGATTTTTTGGCTCCCGTGGACTGAGTTATATCGGGGTAGAGGTGTATTTTAAATGGAGTTATCAAGCAGTTCAGTTTAAACACAACACTGGATTAGTTTATAATGAAAAAAATAAAACAAGATGATTTAACTACACAGAGAAAGAGCTTAAGTGAGAACAAGTATAAGGTATTAAAGTCAGAAATGGATACAAGAGAAATAAAGATAAGTTTTAGCTACCAGAAATGTTTTAACAAGCTAGACTTGGTTCCAGGCAAAATCCTTACCACAGATCACAGCAACAGGGCTGACCAAATTCTCAGGTCAGGAACTCCCGTAAGTCAGAGGGCTGGTTCCTTTGTTATCTTAGATGAAAGAGAGATGGGGAGAGAAAGCTTGGGGTGCTTTTGCCCCTCGCTTTTACAGTCCAGTCACCCTTTGAATTGCATTTTCCTGAGGTTTCAGAGTGGTAGCCGCGTTAGTCTGTATCAGCAAAAACAACAAGGAGTCCTTGTGGCACCTTAGAGACTAACACATTTATTTATAAGCTTATGCTCATATAAATTAGTTAGTTTCTAAGGTGCCACAAGGACTCCTCATTGATTTTCCTGAGAGTTACCCCTGATAAAGTGCCTTCCAGCTGTGAGGACGGAGACATGGAATCTTATGGTGAAAGAAGTTCCATGTTGTTTGCTAAAATGCAGATCGACCTGTTCCTGTCCCACTTTGTTGCCAAATAATGGCCAATTGACCACTGATTGTCAATTAACTTTGATGACACCCTGGTTCACCCCATCCCCAGACTTGTCTGGTAAACACCCATCAGTCATCATTTCAGCTTATGTTCTTAACTCTTTATACAAATTTCGTACATACATTACACAAGAATATTGATGATCAGCATGTTATTAGTTTTTAAATGATACCTCACAAAGTATACTGTGCACAAAGATTACAATGATGTGTAGGGTGTGAATACAGGGGTGCTCTGGGTCACAGATAGGTATTACTGAACTATTTTAGAGACAGGGAAACTGACACAGAGAGCAGAAGTGATTTATCCACAAAGCAGTGGCAGAGCCAGGACAAGAACCCAGAAGTTGTGACTCCCAGTCACCCC